TCTACATCTATATCCTCATTAAGATGTCTTAAACTAGGCCTAAGAATGCCTAGGATGGGATGAGGATGCAAAGATGCACTTTAAAAGCATTTTCAAGATTTTCAGAAAACAGGGGTCACGCTCGAGCGTAGGTAGCTCCGCTCGAGCGAATATGCAGACAAAGGTTTCCGCTCGAGCGTATACTTACCCGCTCGAGCGTTCTGCAAAACAGTCAAAAGTGTTGGATAGGTGAAATCACGCTCGATTGGGCGCTCGACACCCGCTCGAGCATGAGACACAATGTCCCACTCGAGCGTCAGTTATTCCGCTCGAGCAGAATTCAAAACAGTGCAAAGCACTAGGAGCACGAATTCCACGCTCGAGCGCCAGTCACCCCGCTCGAGCGTGAGTCCAAATTCTGGAAATTCCAGATTTGAACCTCAAGCTCAAAACCAAGTTTTAAAACATAAATTTTGATCATCTTGGGCCAATTTTCCAGAAAACATCCCAAAACTCATAGTTTAACATGATTCCAAAGCTCAATTGTAAAATCAAAGCCCAAGGGTGTTTCAAACAACATGATTTTCAAACCAAAACTCAAGAACATAACTCAAACATGACATGCATGAGTTTAATCAATTCAAAGCTTCAAATGCTAGCTCAATTGAGCCATTTCTTTCTAAAAACATGATGAAATCATGGACTACTCTTAAAACATGGATATGCATGTGAGGAATTATGAGCCATAAACATGGACATTCAAAGCTTCAATATATATATACATGCATGCAACAATTAAGCTTCAATTCAACAATTTGAGCCATAAATTGGCTCTAGACTTCAACTTTGCTCAAAACCATGCAAGAACAAGCTTAAACACAACAATGAGAGGTTAAATTCCCTTACCTAGGTCTCCAATACAAGGTGCGGAAGCTTAATTTGCTAATTCTCACTTCAATTCTACCAAGTTTCCAAGCAATTTGGTTGAAATCAAGTCCTTCTCCTAGCTCTCTCTCTCTAGTCGGCTAAGTCTAAGAAAAATGGCTGAAGAAGTGTTTTGGTCAAGTGTGTATGAAGCATAAAGTGTCTGGTTAGTGGGTCACTAGGCATGGCAAAGTGGTAGATAATGCAACTTATGAGATTAAGCTCATTTTAATCTAATTAAACCATACCAAATCAAATTTCAGATAAATACACCATAAAATCACATAAATTCTACTGATCATGGAACACTAATCAATTTCCGGTTCGGCCGCCGATAAGGCCTTCAATTCGTAATTTAAACATAAAAACATGAACAGATAATCAAACAGGCAACAGATAGAAATGCAATTCAAACAGATATATTCAATCAATCAGTTTCAGATTCAGTCAGTTCAGTATTTCAATTAGTTCAATTACTTATCATAATCAGTCTCAGTTTAGCAGTAATCGGTAGTTTATCGGTGAACAGTGGTGAAGGTTGTTACAGATATACACATAAAAAATATATAGAGAGTAATATGATTATTTGTATTCTATCACTTCAAAACAAAAAATATATATATTTTCTTAAGCTAAAAAATTTTAAAAAAGCAAATACAAACCACACCAACCTTAAATATCTTTATGAAAATTTCTATTATAAACACTCTTAAAAAAGTTTGAATATCTTATGCGCCTTCACTTTTATTGAATTTGAAAAAATTAATTTGAGTCATTGATTATAATCCTATTGAATTGTAATTAACACAAATTTAAGTGATAATTGAAGATCACTTCGACATAATTATAATCATAACTAAAGTTGCTTATGACATAATCAATTTCTTTAGTACCTAGATGAATAAATCTTTGTTCGGCCGTTAGGCCCAATGTTAAATCTTTTGAGGCTATAAGGATAAGAACAATATGAAAGATCATATTACTTCTATTTGTTCAATTGTCATCTATTTACCCACTTAATCTATCTATATATCCAAATTATCACCATCACCACCGCCCACACTGGCCATCGTTGACAACTCTTCTGATCATTGTTGGCTAATTTTTTAGCACCAACAATTTTTTTGGCAATGGTGGTGTGTTAGGATGTAACAACGCAAGGGTGAAAATGGGAATAATTTTTTTTCAAAATAATAATTTGTCATTTTTTTTTTTCCGAAAACATGTTATTATCATGCCGTTAATAAAAAAATAAATAAATAATTGAGTATAATGCCATAAACTTATAAACGATTTTTTTATATTAATTTTTTAAATTAATAATCATCTCATTTATTTTCTACTCTAATCTAATCATTTTAAAAAGTAAATTATAAGAAAATTTAAGGGCACTTGGTTCATAAATCCAAATTAGAATTTTGTTTGGTTAGAAGTCCACACCCTAAAATATTTTGTCGATAAGGACAGGCTTAAACTAAATGACCAAAACACTCTATTTCTCCACCACCGCTGAAGCTAGATCTGTTGCTTGTGAAGAATGTCAGCATCGTGCCGTCGTCGTGAAGAACATCGACGTCGGTGATGAAGCGGTCGAGGCGAGCGAATTATCATGCCCTTAATAACAAAATAAATAAATAATTGAGTGTAGTGCCATAAACTTATAAACGATTTTTTTATATTAATTTTTTAAATTAATAATCATCTCATTTATTTTCTACTCTAATCTAATCATTTTAAAAAGTAAATTATAAGAAAATTTAAGGGCACTTGGTTCATAAATCCAAATTAGAATTTTGTTTGGTTAGAAGTCCACACCCTAAAATATTTTGTCGATAAGGACAGACTTAAACTAAATGACCAAAACACTCTATTTCTCCACCATCGCTGAAGCTAGATCTGTTGCTTGTGAAGAATGTCAGCATCGTGCCGTCGTCGTGAAGAACATCGGCGTCGGTGATGAGGCGGTTGAGGCGAGCGAAGACAGAGTTAACGTGGTTAATTTAACCACCCACACTCGAACCAATTGTCGGTCCAAATCTGCAAGTCAACCGATGGTCCACCATTTTCCTTTTCTTCAGACCCTAACCATAGTTGCCATATTTTTCCTCTTCTTTAAACCCTAATGGTCGCCGTCGTGCAGATCTGCAAAAACAACTTGATTTTCATAGAGTGAGTGAGTTGTACACTTTATTTTGGCCTTTGGGCACTGGATCTTGGCATTGAATGTACTGTAGAAGAAGCGAGTGGTGGAGTACCATCGAGCAATGCGACAATGGTCGAAGGATAAGGTGATGTAATCGGATTCACAAGAGTTGATTCTGTGTGTTAGATTTGTTTTTGCTTCTTGAATTTTTTTTTTAGTTGTTATTGTTCAGGATTTAGTTGTTGTTGTTGTTGATGATGAATCTGTGGTGTAATAATGATGGATATTTGTTTTATTTATTTTTACTCAGATTTGTTCAAAATGCCTAAGATTTGTTCAGATCTGTTCAAAATGGCTCATATATGAATTTCAAACAGATGACATTTCACATAAATAATTTTAAAAAGATATAATCATTTCAATAGATAGAATTCAAAAGAAAAAAAATGAACAGATAATAAAATTGAAATGGATAGATTTAAACAGATAAATGAAAAAAATTAAACAAATAATAAAATTTAGATAGATATTTGAATAGGTGAGATGAAAAAATTGAACAGACAGTCAATAGATAGAATTTTGACAGATAAAATTCAAGAGAAAAAAATAAACAGATAATAAAATTTGGATAGATAGATTTAAATGAAAAAATTGAACAAATAATAAAATTTAGATAGATATTTGAATAGATAAAGCAAAAAAATTGAAAAGATAGATATACAATCTAAATAGATAAGGCGAAAAAATTGAACAGATAGATATAAAATTTGAATAGATAAAAAATAATTTGAATAGATAGTCAAAAAAATTAAATAGATAAAAAAAAAGTCAATAAATAAATTAAGAGATAAAATTAGAATTAAAATGTCATTCAAAACAAATAAAATGACTTATTACTAAACTATTTCACGAACAGTGAATTTCTCGCTAATAAAAAATATTCACTAAACATAATACCTTAGACAATTGCCAGAATGAACTTTTCAACAATTTTCTCAAAAATCAATTACTTTTAACTTCTTATTTCTCTCTCTCTCTCTCTCCCCTTCAAAAAAAAAAAAAATACAATAGAAAAAAAAAAAAAAAAAAAAAAAAAAACAAAAACAAAAACAAAAAAAACATATGAATTATTTTTTTCCCCTCTTCTGTTCGATAGTACACCGAATCCAAATGCATCAATTAATATACACATTAGTGTATCAAGTAGTGTTATGTCATTATTATAGATCTCACATATTATACAAATTATAAATATCTAAAACTTCTAAAATTATATCACATCATCAATTAATATATGAATTATGCTAGGTACCCAAATAAATTATCAAACAAATTATCAAACCTCTCATATGGGTGTGGGACCCACACAAATTACATGTTCGTGGATCCCACGCTCATGTGAGAGATTTGATAATTTATTTGATAATTTACTTGGATCCATTGCATAACTCATATATTAATACATTCATATAGTATTATTCAATCCAAATGGGCTGTTACCGTTCCAAAAAGAGTAATGCTAGAGATACCAAGGGTGTGTTTGGTTTGCTTTTAAGAGATAAATTTTCAAAAAACATTTTGGAGAAGAGTTTAGAATTTTTTTTTTGTTTGTTCGGTTGTATATTTTGAAAATAGTTTTGGAGTATGGGAGTTTGAGATGATTTGATATTTTATTATAATTGAGTAAATGTGCATGGGAAAAAAAGTGATTGAGAAGAAAAGAGAAAAGAAAAAAAGTGATTAATTAATGTATAGGAGAGAGAAAGTGATTTTAAAAATATTTTGAAAAAATTTTTCAATCAAACAAAATTTTAAAAAAATTATGTTTCAAAAGTTAAATCAAACAATACCCAAATCTTCTACCAAATAAACGGGTTTCACATAAGTGTGAACCATACCATATAAGACATTTAATTTTTTATTTGACAAAAAATTTAGTACCACTAACATTTTCCATCCAAAAAAAACATCAAACGTACCATCCATCCTATCCGCATAACAACTTCTCCTCGTAACAAACGAAGAAATTCTCTGTAAAGTTAATCTAGAGAGAGAAACCAACAAAGAGGAGAGAGAAGGAGAGAGAGAGAGAGATCCATGAGGAGGTCATTTGGGGCTAACGGAGGAATGGGCGGTGGCGGAGGAATGCTAAGAACAGTTCAAAGGGCAGTTAGGGCTGGTGTTGGTGGTTCAGCCCAAGAACCCTTTTCTCACTCCACAGCCACCAATTCCTCAACTACCACCAGATCCACTTACAAACCCACCACTTCAAACCTTCTCTCTCTCTCCTCTTCAACTTCTTCTTCATTTCACCATCCTGTATCTTCGATTTCCAACTTACCCATTTGGCTTGGCTCTTCTTCTTCTACTCCTACTACTTTCAGTGATGAATTTGAGTGGGAGTGTGTTGATGGAATTGAAGATGAAAAAGGTGTATGTGCTTTTTATGATGATTTTGTTTTTGGGTCTGTTCCATCTGAGGACGAAGTTCAACATGCTCTCTCTTCTCTTCAGCAGTAAGTTCTTCATTTGCCTTAATTTCTTCTTAGTTTTAATGGATTTTTTGCTCTTTCTGAATTTTCTTTACTAATTTTGAAAAAAGAAAGAAAGAAGGAATGTTAAGTTGATATTTTCTTCATGTTTTTCTTATTTATCTGTAATTGTACTGTTAGTGATTATAATTTCTTTCTGTTTGGGCATTGAAGGTTTTATGGTATATAATTCTTCTTGATTTTGATGGTTTTTTTTTTTTTTTGGCTGTTTTGTTTTTGTCTTTTGTTTTTTTTTTTATACATTAATTTTTACTGGAATGTTGAGGTGGTATTTTTTTTGGGTAAATTACATTCACACCCTAGGGTTTGAATTTAATACATATCACCCTGACTTTTGGAAAATTACACTTCCTCTGTTTTTTTTCCTTTCCTTTCCTTTACTTTTTTTTTTTTTTCAATATAATTTCCTCTATTTTTTTTAGTAGGAGTTGTTACCTTTTATTTAAACCGGTTTATGAAATGGGACTATTAACCATAGGCGTGAGAATGTAATTTTCAGAATGTCAGGGGTGAAATGTAATTAGACCAAACCTCAAGGGTGTCAGTGTAATTTACCCTTTTTTTTTCTTTTTGTTTTTTTTGTGTTATCCGGCTGCAATTGTAATGTTTGTAATTGTAAATGACTAATGTAATTACATTCTATTTTTCTGTTTAGGCATTGAAGGTTTTATAATATATGTGTATATATATATTCCTTCTTGAATTGGGTTAGTTTCTTTGCGTTTCTTGTTTAAATTTTAGATGGGCAGAGGGAAGAGAAGAAGAAAAAAAAATAAAAAAGAGCAAGAATTTATAATACAACTAAATTGGGTGAAAAAAGAAAATTATCAAAAGATTAATTAGCACCCAAGGTAAATTACTAATGGCGACAATGGTGTTGGTAATGAATGGATACGGTACCACTTCTCAGGTTTATTACACTTAAATTTTTAATACTAATGTCCTGATCTTGTTGATAATGATGATTGAATATGACAATTGCCTTAGTTTACCCACAGTATCAGAATTCCTTGAACAGCTAGTCATTTTCTTTTTGATAATTGGTATCACAAGTTCTATTTTTTAATATTTGATGTATAGACCGATGATAGCAAAGATGATAGTGATGTATTAGGATAATCTTGTGGTTCCAATCAAAACATTACTCAAGAAGGATGGTTTTTGAGCTTGGTTTATTTATATTTAATGTCACTTTCTGAACTTCATTTGTTTAGAAGACAAGAAAAGTGAAAGATTAGTCATGTTTTCATTTAACAAAAATGAGAATTGGAAGTAGAAATGTGAAAATAGAGAGACAAGCCAACTTAGCTTAAGTCTATATACATTGTTCTTAATGTTAAATTGTTAATAGCTGAATCGATGGTGAATATTATGATAACATGGAAGTTGAAACCAAATAAACCTGTGAGTTTCAACTTTCTAACACTCTCCAAGCCTATCAGTAAGTGTTTAGTGAAAGTTCTGAAGAGAGGAGATCATAGCACACAAAACCTAGCTGGACCGTGTTAGACCTTGTCCCTTGTTCCTTGTCTTTGTGCAACAATAAAGTCTATGGAACCAACTACATAAAAGATAAGTGGAGCAATCTGAATGGAACTGTTTCTTTTATATATGAGATCTGTTTTGTGTTGGAAAACTTATTACTTTGTACTTGCACAGTACATAACATAGTAAATTGTAATACGAGTACAATTTTATATAATAAATTTGTCTAGAATAAAAGTGATAAAATAATTAGTAAATTGTGATTATGACGAAGAAGATTTTTTCTGCTTTTGTAAGAATCTCAAACATAATCAGAAGAGTTCATACCATTAGGCTTTACCATTCCAATGGTGAATTTCAAATTTAGATTTGTATGTCTTCTTGTAGTTTTCTCCACTTCTACTTGGATTGTGAGCTAACTATTCCTTTTTCATTATCGATGTCTCTTTTTTCAAGTAGTTGGTTTGGAGCTGACAATTGGAAAATTGTGATCCTTAGATGATCCTTGAGAGATTTGTTAAAATTGAAAATAATTCGGGAATCTATTTTCTTCTGTACAGTATTGCCGAACACAGCTTTTCCAAGTCTCTCTAGATCTATGAAAGTATAAAAAGATACATATTTGGATTTTCTTCTATGTTATCCGGAATTATTTTTAAATGATTGCTAGTCGATGAAAGTGTTTTTGCAAAATACTATTTTTTGAATAGTTGAATATCAAGTTTGTCTTGGATCCCTCTGATCATCCTAATAAATTTTGTTATCTGGGAATGTTTTGTACTTGTAGGGTCCTTGACCCAGCCTCCTTTTCACAGTTCATCAAAGATAGACTTGCTTATAATTCCAACAACAACGTTGCAGATGAAATTACTAGCCCAACTGGTCTGGTGACCCGAGTTTCTTCAGTTGGGACAGAGTTAGATTGGATTGAACCCTCAATGCAACTATGTAATCCAAGGATGTTGCAGCATCATGGATCTGACAGAGTTTATGATGCTTTCAATTTATTGCAGACTGATCCTTCCATTCAGGTGTTTCACATCACTGACTCTTAAAATTTACAAGGATGGTTTGTGCTTGTGGACAGTATTGAGCTATAATTTCTTCAAGAAATTATATTTTTTTTTAAAAAAAATAAAAATAAATTGAAATTGGATGGGAAAAATGTCTTAAAATCTAAACTACATGTGACTTCATTTAAATTTTGATAGACCCTATTTAGTAATGTAAGTCTTGGAAAGAAAATGAAAATGGGAAAAGAAAAAAAAAAATCTAGTCTTTTAGAGGTTTGATTTGCAAGAAAAGGAAAAACATTCAATAAAGGAGGAACCATGTATTGGCTTTATTTTCTTAGAAACATGGCTTATCATCTCCTGCAAAAAACTCAAGAATTATTTTTACTCCCATGAAAGCTGTTACTTATTTATTATTAGGAATCTCCCACTACATAAAATTAGCTTCTCTTGTATTAATGTATGGATGATTTTTTTAAATAAAATAAAAAACCTACTTTCGTGCAATTCAAATAATATAATATAATTTTATTCTAACATTCTTCTTTCTAGTTTTTTTATTTTTATTTTTATTTTGATTGTATTTTATTACGTCTAGTTTTCTTTGAGCGAAATTATATGATGTTCTCCACCAATAGTTCCATTAAAAATTGTTTAACTACCCTATTGGCTATGGAATAAAAGACATAAATAATGGCTAAAAGTTTAAAAAATAAATACTTTTGCTTGTGAGTTTTGATGTCAAGGAGTGGAATCAATTGAGCTTGTGTTGTAATATATGAACAAATAAAGTGAATCTGTGGAGTTGTATTATATATTACCCGTGAACATTGAATATTTATTTTTAATTATTTTTCTTCTCTGTTCATACTTCATAGTAACACTTACACCCCCAACTTGGACTTGAACCCTGCAGCCCCTCCTTTTAAGGGGCGGCTCGAAGAACTGCTCAAGATAACAGTTTTTTTTTTTTTTTTTTTTCCTTCCCCATTTGCATCGTGCTGTTTGATTTTATTCGAATGCATTTACATAGAAACAGATGGGAGTTCCCATGAAAATAAAGCTGAACATTGCATTTGTTATTACATTTAAACCCTCATTTTGGTAGGGTAATATATAGCGCATTATTATTATTATTATTATTTTTGGATCAGTAAAAGTCAGTTGTTCTGATCCCCAAAAGTTTTAGTAAACAGATTATTATGTTTCTTTTGACATATGCAAGGTCATAGTGAATGTTGTTCAAGTTTTATGATATTTTGTCTTCCCGTTTCTTTTTAGATTTGCTTTTCGTAGTTAATAATTTTTTATGTGCAGAGGATGGTCATTTCATTATCATCTGATAAAGCTGTTTGGGATGCTGTTTTGAGCAATGAGGTGGTGCGGGAGCTCAGAGAGTCACTAAGTGAAGGTTTGTTTGAAATCTTATAAATATGATTAATGATGATCTTTTACGAGTACATCTTCTTTTTTTGTAGTTCAACATCCTAATGTATGATGTTTTCTGGTGGCCAAATTGAGCGGCCCCCATCTCTCTGCGCTTTTCCTCTTCATTTACCTCTCACTTATTTCTTATGAAATTATTGGTGGGCAATACTAATGAAATTCTTTACTTGAAAAGTAACTCGGGATGCTCTATTTGTTGCTCAAGGAAATAACTTTCTTGTTTAAAGCATTTCTTCAGGTCATTTTATTCATTATGCTTTTGAAACTCTTCACCCAATAATATACAGAATTTGTTTAGGCTCTTTTTGAAATATTCGTTAAGAAGTAGTTTCCAATTTCGGTTACTTTATTTTCCCTAATGATCATGGTGGTTATTATTGGAGACTTGTTATAAAGATGCTGCTTCTAGATTCCAATTTGATTCACATTATAAGTGGTTCACAATATGGAATATTGAGGGTTATGCTCATCACTTCACCAAAAATAAGAATAAAAAGGTTAATTAACAAGACATGTCAACCCCCCCAAAAATTATCAATCTAGATTTCTACTAACAAATCATTGTGTTTAGGACGAATTACACTGGTAGTCCTTGCATTTTGGTACTTGTATAATTTTGGTTCCTATACTTTCAATTGGCTTGATTTTGTGTCAATTTAATTCAATTGATAACGTCGTTTAGGGTTTTTGATAGAAAATGATTGCTAAGTTGGTTGAGGTTAACTCATTGAGTTGACCAAGTTTACAATTTTGTCTCTAATAATGTGTTTGATTGTGGGATTAGGGAAGAGATTTGGAAAGGAAAATGAAAAATGTAAGTGAAATGTAAATAAAATATAACTACATTTCACATAGTTTCACACATTTTTTTCTAAATCTTTTCCCAAATCCCACAATCAAAACAGCATAAAAGAATTGACACATCTGCTCGTGTGGACATTTTCCATAAAAATTGTTGACGGTTGTAATCAATTGGAAGTTGAGACAAAATTATAAATTAAGGGTCAAAATCGAGCCAATTGAAATTATAAGGATTAAAATGACATGAAGACCAAAATATAGAAACTGTTGGTATAGTTTGCCCTTGCATTGAATATCTACTTATATGTAACAAACCATGAATAACGAAGACTGAAATTATGTGGCAGATTGGAAATCTAACTATACTTGACATATATCATTTTCGTATTCACATGATAATTTCATTAGGCATGTATATGCAGCTGACAACAATGTACTTGAGAACCTGGATGACTGTTCTGATGGCGGCTCCAAAGCAGCAACAAACATACTGAGTTGGATTTTTGACAATACTAAGGCGAAAGTGATGGAACTAATCGATAAAGTTATGAAGCTAGTGAATGAGTTGTTTCAACCTCCAGAGGATGAAAAGAAGACAACAGGAGGAGCAGCCACGGACTCATTTCAGGAAAAACTGCGAACTTCGTTCATGCTCTCCATTGTGGTCCTCTTGATTGTGGTTGTGAGTCGAGCCCATAGGGCTTGATCTTAATCTGACGACACGACAAAGGTGACCTCCATTGACTCACTTAGTTCCCAGTTGATGATTGAATTATTGAAGAACGTTGGTTTGACGTAAGTTTACTGTAAAATATATAAATTTGAACTTGGGTTTTGGCTGGTTTTGTGTATGATATGGGGAATGTATAAATGGAAGGCTGTGTTTGTTGGAAAAAGTAAATGTCAAACTTCTCTTCTTGTTAAAGCTTCTTTGAATATTCCAATATTACTTCTCTGCTTGAGTAAGGGCTGTTTAGTGTAGTTTATGGAGCTACTTATTATTATTATTTATTTAGAATTTTTGGTTTAATTTTTGCTTACAGTTAATAAGGCGAAATAACTTAAATTGGTTGAAAAAACCCGAGTATTGAGAAGTTGGTGGAGAAATGTTATTGATTTCTGTTTTTTTATGATATTTTTAACTTGCTAGAAGTTGCACCAATGATATGGGGAATGTATAAATGGAAGGCTGTGTTTGTTGGAAAAAGTAAATGTCAAACTTCTCTTCTTGTTAAAGCTTCTTTGAATATTCCAATATTACTTCTCTGCTTGAGTAAGGGCTGTTTAGTGTAGTTTATGGAGCTACTTATTATTATTATTTATTTAGAATTTTTGGTTTAATTTTTGCTTACAGTTAATAAGGCGAAATAACTTAAATTGGTTGAAAAAACCTGAGTATTGAGAAGTAGGAGGAGAAATGTTATTGATTTCTGTTTTTTTTATGATACACTTTTAGCTTGCTAGAAGTTGCATCAAACAGTTCCTAGGGCCTGTTCTTTCATTTTAGGTTTTCGTTTAAATCCATTATTTATGATGGACTAAGCTTTTGTTGCACCACAAAAATATGAGATAAAAAACAGTCAAAAACCCTAGATTTCTCATAAGTATCATATTTCTCCTTGTACAGTTAGGAAAATCCTTCACATTGGATCTCTAGTGGATTCCGAGCCCCACAACCCAACTCAACTCACGTATGAGCAATAATTGTATCAACAAACAAACTACAAGACACCCAACAAAATTAGTTCAAGGCAATTCACTCTATACCATAATACTGCTCCTCGTCTAGGTTTGGGAATTTGAAAACCTAGGTACAACAAAGCTCTTAATACAGCTATAACTACTGGCTAAACATCTTAGATGCTCCTATGCATTAACAGACTGATCTTAGATGCTAACAAGTTGGCGTTGTCAGTTACTCTGGCTACATATTTACGTATCAGTTCTAATGAAATATACAATCACTATATTGTATGGTCAAAATGGCCAGTAACATCTACTCCAACTCAATCACATTGTCCAAGAGGGAATCAATATCTGGAGTTACAACAACCCGCTTGCCTATTTCTCCAAGCGCACAACAGTTCTCATCAGCAGTGTTGATTGCCACCACATCTTGAAAACATTTACAACTTACACCCGGTGATACCTGAAAATCATTTTAGTTACATTACTAAGTTTATAACTCCAAACAAACAACTTACGTGACCTCAATGAGTTCTCTCTGAAGTTACTAATTGTGAAGACAAAAGGAAAATATATTTCTATGGTTTGTGGTGCAAACACACAAAAAATTGGCACAGTTCAGGAAAGTGCGAACAAAATTCTTGAAATGGTAAGACAGTCATCATAATCTTTTTCTTCAAGTATTTGATGGCTCTAATACAATATATATAAGCCTACACAATGTTTTTCATTATCAGGACAAATGGCAGCAAGTATTATGGAACACTTGTGACAGCCTTGTAAGGAAATCTTAAGGGTCTCAAGATCTAAACATTTCACGTTAACGTTGTGCTTGGTTGGGGAATTTAGGAAGGGATTTGGAAAGGAAAAGGCAGAAGATGTGTGAAACTAGGTAAAATGTAGGTATATTATATTCATATTTTACCTACCTTTTTCCTTTCCTTTTTCAAATCTCTTCCCAAATCTCCAACCAAACATAGCGTAAAGGACACTGCAATCACTGTAAAGTATAAACTAAAAGGCAATTCAGCTGAACCCTTCAAATGTCCCCAAGACTGAGGTGGACCTAGGTAGATGAATCTACGCAGCCATTCATAATGCGGCAATCAAAGATTCCACATCTAAATGAAGGCTAACCAGTTTCAAGAAATAAATATAACAAGGGTGAAGGAACAAAAGGAAACTCTTTTGTAACCTTTAGGCACGATGACATAGAGCAACTTTAAACCTCTGTAGATTTTGCACAACTTGATGCTAGTGTTATATGCTTTCTTCAAGAAATCAATTTTTATTTCTTTCATTCCTGGGGGTTTTGGTTTTGCACGGGAGGTCATGAAGATAGTTCTTTTGTTTCTTTAGAAATGGTAAGCAATATTTTAGGTGCACGGGTTCGTTTATGTCCACTTCAATATAAATGTTTTTGTTGTTGGTAGCTCTAAATTGCACAATCTCCTTTCATGACCTCTGAAGCAAGACATCACGATCAGAGAGAGAGAGAGAGAGAGAGAGAGAGAAAAGCCGAATATTCTGCTAAGTATAAAAGTTCAACGTTAAGATGCAATATAACTTACGTCATGGATGACTTCTCCAAGCTTCCACTTGATTGCTCCACTCTTGTAAACAAACATCTTGCCCATGTATCCTCCAGGCAGTTCATTCAAACTACAACCCATCATGGAAGCATTACTTGTCTCCAATGGCATAGAGCTGCCCACTGTCTCTTTCTGTAAAGTAAATGTCAAACTTCTCTTCTTGTTAAAGCTTCTTTGAATATTCCAATATTACTTCTCTGCTTGTTACTGAAGTATCCCCAACTGTTGATCTGCCAGCTATCTCTTTCCCCTTTGCACCGGCTGAAGCACCTGTGCTCCCTGATGGTTTCGAACTGTCAGTTCTCTCTTTTCCATTTGCACTTGCTGATTGCTTAACTAGGGGCAGATTATCAGGAAATTGAAGAAAGAACATCTGTGGTTTGTTATTTTCCTCCTGTCCATCATTAACCCGTGTACGTTAAGTGGCGAATACTAACAAAATTGTCAATTGGGTAAGGATTTGACATTATTTCAAGATTTCATTTATTAGATAACAAACTAGCAGCCCAAGCTCCAAAGCTGGATTTACATTTTTTTCATCATACTCCAAGTTTATCGCAGCATCCCCAAATTCTGCTTCATCAAGAAGTTCTGAATGCAAAAGCAAGAAAGCCATATTGGACAATGAACATCACAAAGAGAGGAGAAAAAAAAAAAAAGAAGAAGAAGAAGAAGAAGAAAATTGATGAATAATTATGGCACTACTGACACTGTAGCTTTTAAAGCTTCAGAGTTCACCTTAGGGCTATGGAATTTTTTCGGCACATATCCATTCTCTAATGACCTTTTTTTTTTCTCTTTGTTCATTTTATTCTTATAATTTTGTATGTTATTATTACATTTATTTTTGAGTAAAACCCAATTTTAGAGGATGAGTTTGTGCGTTAAATTGCTATGGCAAAAGCAAAACGACTTTCACTCCTAAATGTATAAAAAAAATCCATGTAAAACAAGGAGACCAACACAATATTTCTTCCAGATTAGAAAGAAGTATGAAGCTAATGTTACACATCATTTGTGAGGAACCCTGCAAGGTCGCCCATAAACTGCAATTGCATTAAACTGATGCAAAAATCATTTATACATTTTTTTATTTTATTTTTAATATTCAGACCAGCTATTGCTGGACCATGAAAGGTCACCTGAAAACCAAGCACACTTTTACAAATTTTCAAGGGTATAGACATTATATTTTTTTAAAAATAAGAGTGACTAACACTGCAATGCATTGAAAACAAACCTGGGTCTCCAGAGTTAGGCCTTCTCAAAGGAAGAGAAATAGGATGGTTAGAGTGGAGGTAATCCTGTGTTGGCATTGATGAAAGAAATGCATATGAGAGAGAGAGAGATAGAGAGAGAGAGAGAGAGAGAGGTGTAAGGGGATGAACAGCCCAGACTTCTCACCCAAGGTTCTTTGTAGTTTTTCTGTTTCTTTTGATATGATGCATCCACAGCATTTGCAGAACTGCTGGTGGTTCCATCTGGTTTAGCAGTTGAAGGCAAAGAAAAGACAATTTGCTCATCACCAGAATCAGAATCCTTCAAGCCTGAATCCTTACTTCTACCAGTATTCCCTTCCCCACGTCTGCCATATGCCCTTATGGAATCTGATGATGCAGCTCCAAATGTAACTTGCACTGAAGCTACAAATTTGAATACCAAACATGATCTTAACAACAACTATCATTATAATGATCGTAATAATCATAGTAATAAAGATGCTCACAAGATCATGATAGAGACAATTCATAAGTCCTCATTCATTCCTCATCCCAAGTATATGGAAAGGTAACACTGAAACTGATCAACTAGTCCATCTTATTAGGGCTATGTTTTATTCCAATTAAGTGGGACTGAGTTCACCCATGACACTTCATCAAAAAGCCACTTCTTATTTTACACCGTTGTATTTCCTAGTCTCGTTCTCATTAATAGACATCATTACCCAATATAGTTGATATTTCCAGATAAACATTCCAATCATATATATTGCCCCTTACATATATATATATACATACAGCTATGTTTTTCTTAGCCCCAAAGTACTTGCTTTCTTTTGTAGTGTTGCCGTTTTATTATCCCAAATATTCAAAATCTCATCTGTATCTGAAATATTGCATGAAAAACATTGTCTGTTTAACTTTTTTATCCACATCAAGTATGTCAATTACATGATGTCAATCATCTATATCATGCCTCAGTTACTTCTGATATCCCACTTACCAGCAAAATGTGATGGAGTTACCAACATAGTTGGCTATGAATTATTCCAAATAAGAATTTGTAGCTTTAAAAATAATATTTCAGGGACACGTACCAACTCGTTTTAATGCTTCCAGTGTGTTATTGAAACCTATACATTTATGTATGCCAGAACTCTTTTACTACAATAATCCAAAGACAATAAGGACCTATCTGGATAAGGGATACATGGAACAACAAAATTAGTGAACCTACTACTCTTTCCTTTCATTTCTTCAATCATAGAAGTTCGATTTACTTTAGTAAAGCTGCATCAAAATAGACATTTATGGCTTCATTATAAACAACTCATGGCCATTCTTACCAATGTCCTGTTCAATATCAACTATGAAGCAAATTTGAATTATGAAATTGGTCATTATAGATGTGAAGGTTCAATTGATACAGCTGAACATAGAAAAAAACAAGCAGACCTCCCAAATTGAAATTCAACAAATTATGACTTTCCATCTCCTACCCATTGTTGAACCCAGTTATCAAACACTAGTGCACACACGAGTCTACTATTTTATGGAACAGTTGCCAGTCTCTACAGTTAGATATGTTTTGTTTTATTTGTGTGCAGCCAGGGCATCTAATATCATTTTCATAGACACTAGTTTTGGGTTCTTACTGAATTGCATGCTACCTCAACAATGTCATGTTCTATATATCAATATGCAAGACGGCACAACTAGTTGATATAAATATACTAGTTAGATAAAACTAACAACATCTACTCAAACCATAAATTAGGAAGTGCAATCTAACAACTTACAGTTCTTTTCAACTTGAGGTCCTTGTTTCCCCAGATGCTTCTGTACATACAGAGACAACAGTTCAATGATATTTAACACAAAAATAAAAAAATATAGTTGTAAGGTGGGTAGCCAAATGTTGAATTGTGTGAAAGTAATTTGGAGTTACTTATTTCTATCCTTAATTCGTTTGGTCTTTACATGGAATTGAGTTCTTGTTGTCCACTACAATATCAGAAGCCAGAACTCAAAATCCGAATAGGCCAAGATAATTGTTGTCACTTAGTGCCTTGCACTGTGGTTAAACATTTTTTTCCCACCTTTAGAAAGGTTTATTGAATGGGGAGCCCTTCTTTGCCATTTCACATAACAAACTCTAACATGGCAATGACAAGCAGTCATTGCATTGGAAATGAGGGGAAGGAGGAAATCCAAGTCTTAAAACATCTTTCCTTATAGGTGAAGCTAAAGCATGTACTCTCACAAGAAAGCAACTGAACATATTTTGGAAGCGACGCCAGCCCTTCAACGGGTCGAATACAAAACATGTTTTCACAATAAAAAGAAGTTACGAGAAACTTCTAGTCATTTCAGTATCATTAACAAGCTTTCCTCAACAGTATTTTCTGATCTTCAACCATACAAAACTAGCCACATTTGGTAACTAGGAAAGATGGAAATGAAAAAAAAAAAAACAAGAAATTTGAATCTCATGTCTTATTTTATAAAAATACCCTCATATTAGGCACAAGTTGATATGATTTTCATCATTTCCCATGATTGACATCAGAGGCAGAGTCAAGATTTTGGCACAGAGGGGGCACTAGTAAGGTAAAATGTTATGCCTACAATAGTGTGTCCCACCCGGCCATGTCTCACTCCTAATGCACTTAATCCCCAACTTTAACCACAACACTGACTTGGACTGTAATGGTTGTCTCCACCTCCTACCTCATACAGCTTGACAGAAGAAGAGACAATAAGAGAGAACCAAGTATTTTATTGAGAGATTTCTTTACATACTACATACTTCAGCACATGTTTATCACGCAAGCATTTTTATTAATTTTTTTTTTTGTTTTTTTATTCACCAATAAGAATAAATTTGCCAGCATTTATTTTGTATAGGTGGACTTTACATCATAATAAAAGAGACTTTGTCGTAAAATAAACATTTAGAGGGAACAAATTATAGGAACTTCTTTAAAATAAAGAAAAAAAGAGTATACATTAAAATTTTAGAGGGAAAAATGGAGCAACTAGTTTATAAACATATACTGAAAAATAAATTTTATAAAGTTGAGGAGGGGCATAGGCCCATGCTCTCCACCCCTGATCTACAAAATGAAAAATTGAAATTCAAAATTTTAATTTCCTCTCAATGAGATGGAAATCTAAGTGTGCAGCCTTAAAAAGAAAATTTTAAATTGTTCAGCTTTACGTCCTTCGCGCTGCCAAATTCACATAATTGCCTTGCATTTTTACAATATGTTGCATCCAAACAGTTTTATTCATTTATTTATTATTTTTTATGGGAGACAACCAATTCTGAAAAATATTTAGTATATAAGTGAAGAAAAGTTATAAATTAAATGAATGTGTCTTGCCACTTTTCAAAAAGAATAAAAATAAAAAATGCATCACAATGTTGTGTAAGCAGAATTCTAGTTAAAATTTCCATTTGCTTATTTTTCATATATGATACAACATTAGTCCATAATAATTTGTCCCATTAACATGAAATATATAATGCCACATTTGGACACCCATAACCCACTAAAAGTTCTAAGTAATAATAAACCTTTTCCATAACACGTCAGTCTCAAGACACAGGACAAAAAAAAAAAAAAAGGACCCCCCCAAAAAAAAGTCAAGACTAAATACAAAAAAATTAGGGAAAATTATACGGGCAATTCATGTGCTTTGCTCTTTATATTAATTAGTCCTTACATTTTAATTGGAGTAATTTTTCTTTTAATTTTGAATTTTGTACTGATTTGGTCCAATCGATAATATCAGTTACATTTTTGGATGGAAATTAAGTAAATGACTTTGCATGTACGCTCTTTGGTGGCTCACCACCACCACCACCCTACTCCACCAAACCCACCCTCATCTCCTTTACCCCTATCACCGCCACCACTTCTCTTTGTGATACGGTCTTGATGAAACTCAACTCCAAAAACTAGTTTATAAGGTGAGGGTGCCCTCACTCTTATTATACACTTCATATTCATTCCCTTTGTACCCAAGCGAAATGGCATGCACCTTACCTCTCCCCACAGTCCAACTCTAAAACCATGTGACATGATCTTAAGTTGATCTTATACCCAAAAACTAGCTTGTGAAGTGAGGCGATGGTACTCTCACATTTATACATTATACATCTCTTTTGTATCTAGGTGATGTGGGACTTCACTTCACACCCTTTTTCCCCACCCCCTCCACTCCCTATCCAATGGCCCCATCACCGCCTTCTTCCTTCCCCAACAACATCTTTCCTGTTTCCAGCTCCATGACCTTCAAGCTCTCATCCCTAACCTTACCACCATCCACCCTTGGAATCCACCACCAACTAAGAAGCACGGACACAAAAACATGACATGACACGGACACATTGATATAGCAATTATCAAGAAGTACAAGATACGACGCATGGAGGACAAATACGAAATAAAATGAAAATAGAAAAAAGAAGGAGAATAATCCCACATCGAGAGGGGAGGACGTCTTGTTGATTCAATTCAAGATAAAACTAGAATTACGTAACTTCACATAAGTTGATTAAGAAAAATATCCGACATATTTATTTCTTAGTAGATAAATTATTTAAATACGATACAAGAACTAAAGATGAAAAATGCTTGGGAGTTCTAATTGAGCAACCCTAATCCATCGCTAATGATATGGAGTAGGCCCCACTCTTTACTCCTCATCTTTCCTCTTTCTATTCTTTCCCTCTTCCACTTCATTAGAGGTTAAAATAAAAATGATATATTAGGAGATATAATACCACTCAATAAAGATACTACCCACGTAAGAGATTCCACTACTATTACAATACCTATAAGCATATCTATTAATCCTCCTAACTAATAGATAATTCCAACATAAAATATAAAATAGTTAAGATTGTAACAAGGGCACACAAATATATAATTTTATATATTTATTATATATTATATATGTAAATATAAATAGTTTTGATTACACTTATAATTTGTTTCATTTCAAGTGTCTATGTGATGGACACATTTATTCCTAAATATCCAACACGTGTCTGCATCTAAAATCTTATAAAAATAATAGAACATATTTGGACATGTCTAACAAACATAAAATATAAAATAGTTAAGATTGTAACAAGGGCACACAAATATATAATTTTATATATTTATTATATATTATATATGTAAATATAAATAGTTTTGATTACACTTATAATTTGTTTCATTTCAAGTGTCTATGTGATGGACACATTTATTCTTAAATATCCAACACGTGTCTGCATCTAAAATCTTTCAAAAATAATAGAACATATTTGGACATGTCTAACATGAACGCGCTACCATTTTAGAAGCATTTGTAATTCTTAAACCACCACCATCAAACAACCACCTGTACCACCACCATCCACCCCCAAAACCCTCCACCACTTCTGTCTGTCGTCTGTACCACCACTCTCCCTTTCCTTAGTCACCCTACCATCTCCATCTCCCTCTCCCTCTCCCTGTTGCCTCCTCTTTCTCCTCTCTCTCATATATATATAATGGAAAATGATATATAAGTTCACATTTTAGATTCATTTTTTAGACCAAGTGATGTGTCAAAAAAATGATTAGTTGATAATTAAATATTTTCTAATTATATCAACTAATCATCTTTTTGACTCATCATTAAGTCTAGAAAGTATGTCTAATTTTTTGACCTAAATAGCAATACTCATTTATAATACACATATACATATTATATAAAATAATGATTGTTTTTGAGTGAGTTAACTCACTATGTTGGGTGGAAAATATGTCACGTGTGAATTGTGCATAATTTTTGTCAAAAAATCTTAATGAAAATTATCAATTATACACAAATTGAGTCAAAATTTAAAAGCAAACATCAAAATTGTTACAATCTGTTTTGAGCGAGGTGAGAAATAATAAAAACAAGAAGAAAGAGAGCTTTTTTACCCTCATATTTGATTTATAAGTGAGGTAAGTAAATAATGATAAGAAATGTAGGTCATATTTAACAAGTTCCACTTCTCACGAAAAAGATTTTGTGATAAATAAACTGATTAATTATGTATTTTTTATAATATTGAGATTCCCAAGTGAAGTTAAAAAAAATAAAAAATAAAAAATAAAAAATCTCATTCATGTTCCTATTTTACATAAACACAAAATCATTTTATTTTTTTTGTTTATCACAATCATTTAAGTAACCAATAAACTAGCCGTAGCATTATATAATCACACCTATATATATATATATATATATGAAAATGTTATAAATTCTAAATAATCTATTAAATTTTTTACTAAACCTCTCATATGATACAAACCTACTTGTGTGTGGCTACATGTGAGAGGCTTGGTAAAAAATGAGTAATGTTAGAGATCCAAATGTTCTATCAAATGTCTTACAGTCCGACCCATATTGTATGGGCTCCATCATATGAAACATTTGATAAAATAATTGGACCTCTAGTATTTTTGATAAAAAAATTGATAAATTATTTAAAATCCCTATCATTACTCATATACATATATATATATATATATATATATATATAATAGTAGAGAGAGAGTGAGAGAGAATTATTTACGTTGACTCGACGCAAGAGTTCTTCGTCATGACTACGAGCATCATCCACTACTTCACTGCAAATATCAGAGGCATTACATTATACATAATTTCAACACAAAAACAATCCAAAAAAAATAAAAATAAAAATAAAAAAAAATCAAAAAGTAAATACGTTTTGGGATCGGGGGGCTTCGGATTCCTGCGAGGAGGGGCTTTCGGAGGAAACCTAACCTGCAGAGAATAAAGAAATTCAAAAATTAACAAAAAAAATTTAAAAATTAATCTTCAAATTTTCATGAAATCAAAGAAAAGGAATGGAAAATGAAATTTAACAAACTTTTCTTGGCGCAGAAGAGCGGGTTTGATCTGGATCCATGAAGTTTGAGACTTGAAATTACAATTCTACAGAGTGAAATTAGAGGTGAAGAAGACTGAAAGAGAATCAAACGATCTGCACAAAGTTTCAGTACGTAGAAGACGAACGACCGAGAAAAAAATACGGGGAAAAAATTGGAGAGCGGGACTCGAACCCTAAACCTTGAGAGAAAACAAAGATTGTTTTACCACCGTACCACACCAAACTTTTTATGGTTGCTCCTGAAACATTTAATTTATATCTTAACGTAATTGTAGATTTTTTACTTAGTACGAAACTTAATATTTACCAGTTAGATACCAAAAAAATAAATAAAAGTGAAAGGACGAAAATATCCTTCAGAATTCATTGGTACATTTGATTGGAATTTTTATTTTTTATTTTTGTTCCTTCACACTATTTGGAAATATGATTTTGTTCATACATGGTTAGAGTGTAAACAAAATATATTATCTTAGTGGTTCAAAATTATAGGCTTCATATCTAGAAAACGTATTAATTTTATTTAAATTTATGAGTTTTATAATTTTAAACTAAACCTCTCATATGATACAAACCTACTTGTGTGTGGTTATATGTGAGAGGCTTGATAAAAATTGAGTAATGTTAGAGATCCCAAATATTCTATTAAATGTCTTACAGTCATACCCACATTGTATGGGCTCTACCCATATGAAACATTTGATAAGACATTTGATAAAATAATTGGACCTTTAGTATTTTTGATAAAAAAATTGATAAATTATTTAAAATCCCTATCATTACTCATATATCTATATAATAAGTCACAAAGGTTTTTGAAAAATGTATCAAAATGTATGTGACATACATTTTGATCCAATGGCTGAGATTAATCTCAAGTATATATCAATGGTTTAGATCAATGGTTTATATCAAAATGTATCAAAGGTTTCCCGCCCAACACATTTCTGTGTCTCCCCCATACCCTCTGTCTTCTTCCCATACCCTCTATCTACCTTCCCATTCCGACTCTCTGATGAGATGTGAAGCTTGATAGAAAAATACTACTGCACTCTTAACTGCTGGAGAGAAGCACATACGAAATTGATTTGAGAAGGTTGGAGAGAAGCACATGTCAACATTTTATTGAATTCAAACAGAGGTGGGTTGAATTCAAATTCTAACATAGGTGGGTTGGAGAGAAGCAGGTTGGAGAGAAGCACATACTACTGCACTCTTAACTGCTGGGTTGAATTCAAATTCTGCACAGTTATTGAACTCAAAATCAAAAGTTATTGAATCCATATATGCTGGGTTCTTAACTGCTGGGTCCAATTCTTATATGCACAGTTATGTTTCGGGTTCCTTTCCTTTCCTCTCTTATATGCTGGGTCCGAATTGGGTCTCTTATATGCACAGTTATTGAATTCATATATGCTGGGTTCCTTTCCTCTCTTATATGCACAGTCAATTGATTCATATATGCTGGGTTCATATATGATGGATGCTTTCTCTCATTTTTATTCTCTCATTTTTGTTCTTCTTCTTGAATTTTTTTTTCCCCTTAGCTTTTGCCTTCATCAGAGCTTACCGTTGTTCACTCCGGCTCCAAGTGAAACAAGAACTTCAAACAGAGGTGGAAATGATTAACTCGGCTGCTCTGTAATGTGAAACAAAATGACTACTCCAAATTTTTATATAACAGACACTTAGTTATATTTATACTTAATGATACATGCTGGTTTTGCCGACTCCAGAGTCTCCTATTATCAATATCTTCAATGCCAATTGAAACCAATGATGATGATCAAGCGTAGAAAAATGACTACTCCAAAAATGTCTCTCGGCTGATTAACTCGGCTGATTTTTCTATGCTTGATGATGATATACTCCAAATAAATTTTTCTATGCTTGATGATGCTTGATGCCAATTGAAACCAATGATGATGATATACTCCAAAAATGACTACTCCAAATAAATTTTGATATACAAAATTCGGACATGTCTCTCAGTTCTGTGCTTTGCTCTTTCTCTCTCACTCTCTTTCTTCATGACAATTGAGTATTTAAGGAGAGAGAGCGAAGAACAAAAAGGCATAAAGAGGGAAGCGAATGGCAAGAGTTTCAAGAGTTTACAATACAACTAAAATGCTATTCTTTTGCTGGAAATGTTTCGGTGTGTAGTCGGTGACACAATACAACTAGAGTTTACAAGAGTTTCATTTTTCATTGTAATTTTACAAGAGTTTCCTGATCAATCATGTCTCATATGGATTCATTTCAAATGTTGCACGTATCTGCCAAAGATCATATGACCAGGATTTTTCTTTGGGTATCTTTTTAATGATTTCAATTATTTCCTTTTCATTTTAATGATGATGTTTACTGCAACTGTGAACAGATTGACTTGCTCTTAATAGGATACAATTTATAGTAGATTGGTTAATCTGATGCTTTAGTTTACAAACACTTCAAATGACTTTCTATTTTGAAAATGGTCCCCTCGCAGAATGGTGTTAGAGGTTGAAAAATGTGACATATTTGGCACAATGACATCTGGAAAAATGTGAGTTGAAAAACATATTTGGCACATAGTATTTTAATGATTAAGAATAGCATTTTAAGAAAAAATGATTAAGAAAATATTTATACCAGCATATATGATTAAGAAAATATTCACATATATATTTTCTTATCATCAATGTAAAATATTCACATTAACAGCATATATCATCAATGTAAAATATTTATACTTAATGACTACTCAGTAAAATATATTTATGATAGAAATATATTAAATTCTTATAATATATTTTTAATGAGTAAAAATGTACGTTATTTTAAGTATGAATGTTCATTTATTTTATTTACTTAGTTTCACATGGTTGCGAAAGTTCATTTATATATATAAGTATGAATGTTCATTTATTTAAGTATGAATGTTCATTTATTTTATTTACTTAGTTTCACATGGTTGCGAAAGTTCATTTATATATATAAGTATGAATGTTCATTTATTTAAGTATGAATGTTCATTTATTTTATTTACTTAGTTTCACATGGTTGCGAAAGTTCATTTATATATATAAGTATGAATGTTCATTTATTTAAGTATGAATGTTCATTTATTTTATTTACTTAGTTTCACATGGTTGCGAAAGTTCATTTATATATATAAGTATGAATGTTCATTTATTTAAGTATGAATGTTCATTTATTTTATTTACTTAGTTTCACATGGTTGCGAAAGTTCATTTATATATATAAGTATGAATGTTCATTTATTTAAGTATGAATGTTCATTTATTTTATTTACTTAGTTTCACATGGTTGCGAAAGTTCATTTATATATATAAGTATGAATGTTCATTTATTTAAGTATGAATGTTCATTTATTTTATTTACTTAGTTTCACATGGTTGCGAAAGTTCATTTATATATATAAGTATGAATGTTCATTTATTTAAGTATGAATGTTCATTTATTTTATTTACTTAGTTTCACATGGTTGCGAAAGTTCATTTATATATATAAGTATGAATGTTCATTTATTTAAGTATGAATGTTCATTTATTTTATTTACTTAGTTTCACATGGTTGCGAAAGTTCATTTATATATATAAGTATGAATGTTCATTTATTTAAGTATGAATGTTCATTTATTTTATTTACTTAGTTTCACATGGTTGCGAAAGTTCATTTATATATATAAGTATGAATGTTTTAAATTAGTTATATGGGTAATTATGATTTATTATTTCTTTTTTTGGAAAATATATTAACTTTATTATTTTTTAAAATTTATTTTAAGTTTTATATTTTGAATTCAATCATACAATTTGCTATTTTATTTTCTAAAACAAAATACTTATATATACACATACACTATATGGGATTCTTTTTAACTTGATATCCTAAATAAGTACAAAAGTTGCCTACCCCTTTAAATCACCACTGCAATGTTGGACACTAGAGATCCCACAACAATAAAATTGAATGAAACTTTTGTGACAACCATGCCACTCATATATCTATATTTATTACACAAAAAAATTTAAAAAATTGTATATAAAATTAGGTAGGAAATTAATGAAGTGGTGCAGCACGAGAGAGCATACTTCAGTTCAGTGGTTTGACCTTTTGCTTGGTTTAGTTCAGCCTCTTGAATGTGTTCAACACTCCAAAAAGAAAAAAAGAAAAAAAAAAGTTGTTGTGGAGAATCCAAGCCCTCTTTTGGCTTTAGAGATGATTTTTTTATGACTCAAAATTATTGGTTTGAGATATCATATTCAAAAGAAACTTGATGATATATTTTACTGAGTGCTTTGATTTTTCTATGTTTGTTATTTAAAATGAAATTCAGTGCTCTCAAAAAAAATAGATGATCTTGACAAATCATGTGAATCATGTGAATTTGTGAATCTAAGTGCTTTGGATTTTTTAAATTAGGTGCATTATATAAAAAGATTCTGTATATACAAATTGTGCATAAATTCAATTTTAAAAAATTTGGTTTGTTTGTTTACTTAATCATCAACAAAGAAATTATTAGGTGTTTACAATTTTTTTTAGGGTTTACTTAATCATCAACTAAGAAATTATTCTGTCAGGGTTTACAATTTTTTTTTTACTTGCTCTTATATTTTGATTTGCAGTATTGGTGAACATTAAAAATCTTATATGTTTATTTCTTAATTTGCATTAACATTAGGGAGAGTTGTTATTTATTTGAGTTTTGTAGATCATGTAATACAAGCAAAAATGTTACAAGTTATTTAAGAAAAAAAAAATTTAATATATTTTTAATCTTAAAATTATTTACATCGTGCCTTCTGTCAATTTTGATTAAACATCGTGCCTTCTCTCATAACTATTAAACATTGAGGAAATGTCTCTCATCACCAAATTTCTGTCAATTTTTAATCAGAATTATTGCCAATTTTTTTAATCAAAAAAAACATTAAGCAGAAATTATTTTTTCATCAAAGAATTACTGTCAATTATTTGAACTATTAAGCACAAATTTGGTCCTTACACATAAGGTTGGTCTCAAAATTATTTGGCTATTATACACAAGAAAAACGTAATAGATCCAAAATTTTCACTAAATCAAGGATGAACAAAATTTTTTACCAAATCTCCAATAATAATACTTTTAATCTTTTCTGATAAAATTTTAAAATAGAGTATGGATAGGAGATGGTTTTCTTTCATAAAAAATAGTATAGATA